CTTTCTTGCTGCCGGGGGTTTTGTCGATGGCCAGAGAGGATCCAGACCCTGCAGTACAGATAGCCGTAAGCAAGGGTTTAGGGTTTAGGGTTTAGGGTTTAGGGTTTAGGGGTTGGGGGTTGAGGCTTTCGTCTAGGGTTTGGCGCTTGGCCGTTGGGGTTTAGGGTTTAGGGTTTAGGGTTTCGGGTTTGGGTTTTAGGGTTTAGGGTTTCGGTTCTAGGGTTTAGGGTTTCGGTTCTAGGGTTTAGGGTTTAGGGTTTAGGGTTTGTGGTTTGCAGGCCTTGCAGCTGCTAGAGCAGCTAGCGAGTGTAGACAGCTGGAGCAATACAGTCTCTGTGCTGCTGCAGCAAATTAAGCTGCAGCCAGCAGCAATTAAAACGCAAACCCTCGTTACTGCTGCAGTGCTTGCAGACAAACACGCAACGCCCCAGCAGTAAACCCTAAACCCTAAACCCTAAGCAGATCACCCAAAACAGTCCCCACTTCTGTTGTCTTCTTTAAACCCTAAACCCTAAACCCTAGATGCAAACCCTTCCTTTTACACGTACACCCTCGACTGCCTGCCATATCTTATCCTCGATTTGCTTCATTAGGAAGCCTACCGAGGGCCTAAGGCGTAGGGTTTAGGTTTTAGGGTTTAGGGTTTAGGGTTTAGGGTTTGCGCAGGTACCTGGAGAGAGCCTTTGAATTTCTATCCGTTGCCCCTTTAGAAACCCCTGCCTTCTTTTGGAGTCGTGCAGCTCTTCTGCTAACTCATGTCTCACCTAATTCAGACCTCCGGGTAGGGTTTAGGGTTTAGGGTTTAGGGTTTAGGGTTTGGGGCTAGGGTTGAGCGCTGAGGGTTCAAGTTTGCGCGTTTGGGGTTTAGGGCTTAGGGTTTAGAGTCGATGGTTTAGGGGATAGGGTTTAGGCTGTCGGCTTCAGGGTTTAGGGTTTCGGGTTCAAGGTCTAGGGTTTAGGGTTTAGGGTTTAGGGTTTTGGGTTTGCTGCAGGTAAAGGCCGTCCGCGCTGCTGTCTTTGCATTGCGAAACCCCTGCATTGAAGAGCCCCTCCTCAGGTGCAAACCCTAAACCCTAAACCCTAAACCCTAATAAGCAATAAACCCTAATCCCCAATAGACCCAAAAGCCTAAGCTCTAATAAGCAATAAACCCTAAACCCTAGTAAATTTCAAACCGTAAACCCTAGTACACCCTCTAGCCTAAACCCTAAACCTTTATAGACCCTAAACGCTAAACCCTAAACCCTAAACCATACCTAGAGATGTCTCCTCTATATATTTTGTTATATTTCTCTCTTTCTCTTCAATCCACCTGCCGCACCTGCTGCTGCTGCTGCTGCTGCTGCTGCTGCTGCTGCTGCTGCTGTAGGTTGTGCAGCTATATCATTGGGGAGTGTGCAGAACTGCTGCCTGGGGTTTCCGGCGGCGTAGCAGCAGCAACTCAGCTGCTGCTGTCGCACTTGCGGTGTATAGGGAACTCGCGGCTGAGGCCTCTTGAGGTGTCTGGGCAGCTCTGGTCTTTGACAGATAGCAGCAGCAGCAGCACCGCAGCAGCAGCAACAGCAGCAGCAGCAGCAGCAGCAGCAAACGGCAACGTCTGCAGCATCCTTCTCACCAGTCTGTGCAAAGCAGCAGCAGCAAACATGCACCATAAGTCTGCTGCTACTGCTGCTGCTGCTGCTGCTGCACTCCTCTCTACTCATGCCGACCCAGAAGTGCAAACGAGAGCACGCGAAATGAAGGCGTAAACCCTAAACCCTAATAAACCCTAAACCCTAATAAACCCTAAACCCTAATAAACCCTAAACCCTCATAAACCCTAAACCCTAATAAACGCTGCATCCTCATAAACCCTAAACCCCTGACAGCGTGCGGCTTGATAGTTGTGGGAAGGGCATTTGGAGGGTGCACTCACTTAGGGTTTAGGGTTTAGGGTTTAGGGTTTGTGCTGGGGCGCAGGCTGCTGGAGACAGGCGATGCGGATTTTATTTCTTTTTGTTTGGGCCCACTCTCTGCAACACGGCAGCAGCAGCAGCAGCAAATGCGTTTTCGTGCTGCTGCTGGTGGTGCAGCAGCAGCAGCAAAGGTAACACCTGAGGGGATTGCTGCTGTTGCTGCTGCTATAGAAAAGACGAGAGCAGCAGCAGGCAGCATCAAGAAGCTCAGCAGCAACAAATCTGCGTCTCCCTTTGTTAACAGCAGCAGAAGAACCAGCAGCAGCAGCAGCAGAAGCAGCAGAAGCAGTAGCAGCAGCGGCAGCAGCGACAGCGGCAGCAGCCGCAGCACTAGCAGAAGCAGCAGCGCCGATGGCTCCATCAGCAGCAGCAGCAGCAGCAGCAGCAACGATAGCAGCAGCGAAGCAGCAGAAGAAGACATGCAGCTTGCCTCTTATATGACTGCTGCTGCAGCGCAGCTGCCCTCTTCATCCCAACCAGCAGCAGCAGCAGCAGCAGCAGCAGCAGCAAACAAGAAAGCTTGCATACTGAAAAACTCGTTGCTGCTGCAGACTCCGCTGCTGCGGCTGACAGCAAAAAGACAGCAGCAAGGCAGCAGCTGCAGGCTGCTGCTGCAGTGGAGCAGCAGCAGCAAACAAACCCTACGGATTCAATAGTGATTAGACCCTAAACCCTAAACCCTAAACCCTCGAAAGCCCAAACCCTGAGAGCTGAAGCTAGGCAAAGCAGCTGAGACGGCGGCATTGCTGCTGCTGTTGTTGCTGTTGTTGCGGGTGCTGTTGCTGCTGTTGTTGCTGCTGCTTTTGGTGCTGCTTCTTCGCGTTTGCTGCTGTTATTAAGCAGGGGTGCGCTTATCTGTTTTGCTGCTGTCGCTGATGCTGCTGTTGCTGTTGCTGCTGCGGTTGTTGATGCAGCACGTATCGGCCTCCGGCGACTGGGAATTTGCTGTGTCGCATGCAGCAGCAGCAGCAGCAACAGCAGCAACAGCAGCAGCAGCAGATGCTGCTGCTGCCTCCTCTCGGATCGCAGCAGCAACAGCTGCTGCTGCAGCTGCAGGCTCCGTTTACTTCTCAACCGCAGCTGCAGATTGTTATTATGGAGGGAGACGGTGCTGCTGGCACCCAGGTCTGCTGCTGCTGCTGCTGTTGCTGCAGCTGTTGCTGCTGTTGCTGCTGCTGCTGCTGCTGTTCGTGCTGTATTGCGCAACGTTTTTAGCTTCGAGTCGTTCTGCTGCAGTTGCTGCTGCTGCTGGTGCTGCTGCTTCTGTTGCTGTTCATGTTACTGGTGTTGCTATTGCTGCTGCTGCTGCTGCTGCTGCTGCTGCAGGTCTCGAGGCATCAGATATTCCTACCGGTAACGCTTGCGCATTTTGTCTCTGCTGCTGCTGCTGCCCCAACAGAGGCGCTGTGGGAGCAGCAGCAACAGCAGCAGCAGCAGCAGCAGCAACGCGAGTTTACAGCGGTTTGCAGCTTGCCCTCCCCTAAGGCTGTGGCGCTGCTGCTGCGGCGCGGCTGCTTCCTTCGAGTTGGCAGTGTAAGTGCTGCAGCGGCAGCAGCAGCAGCAACTGCTGCTGCATCACAGCAGCAGCAGCAGCAGCAGCATCAGCAGCAGCAGCAGCAGCTGTCTTCGTAGTTCCTGTGTCTACTGGCGTACATAAATTTAAGCCTGTTGCTGCTGCTGCTGCTGCTGCTGCCCTATTTTCCTTCTGCTGCTGCAGCGTTTTCTTCTGTTACAGCTTATTGTGCTGCTTCTGCTGCTGTTGCTTCCGCTGCTGTTGCTGCTGCTGCTGCTTTAGCATCGCATGCTGCTCTTTGTGAAGCTGCAACATCTGCTGCTGCTTGTGCGTGTGCTTGTGCTTGTGCTTTTGCTGCTGCTGCTGCTGCTGCTGCTGCAGCTTCCTGGTGGTGTTGGCGGTTTAGGGTTTCTGCATACGATTTGTACAAACCCTCTAAACCCTCAGCAAACCCTCAGGGTCCCCTTTGGCTGCCGCGTTTACTTCCTTGCAAACAGGTCAAACCCTAAACCCTAAACCCTAAACCCTAAACCCTAAGCGTAAACCCTGTGGAGTAAACCCTAAACCCTACGTGTATACCCTGTAGAATAAACCCTAAACCCTAAATCTCCTAACAATAGCCTCTATATCCTGAACAATAAACCTTAAACCCTAAACCCTAAACCCTAAGCAGTAAACCCCAACTCCTAAACCCTAAACAATAAACCCTAGGAGTTCACACAATAGCAGTAAACCCTAAACCCTGAGCAGTAAGCCCTCAACAGCAAACTCTAAACCCTAAACCCTCGGTCTTGTACAGACATGCAGCGGCTTATGTTAGGCGCAGGGGTTTATGAGGGTTTAGGATTTAGGGTTTAGGGTTTTCTCGTCTCTCCAGGCACCAAGAGGAATGAATGCATGCCCATCCACGCTTCTGCTTCTTGTGCTGCTGCTGTTGCTGTTGCTGTTGCTGCTGCTGTTGCTGCTGCATGCAGGCGGATAAGAGTGCAGGTGATTGCTGCCCATGCTTTGGTTGCTGCTGCTTTTGCTGAGCTGCTGCATTTTTTCCTCACAGCAGGGGCAGGGCTGCAGCAGCAGCAGCAGCAGCAACAGCAGCAACAGCAGCAGCAGCAATTGCCGCAGCAGCCATACGCACAGCAACTTCCTCAGCAGCAGTATCTACAGCAGCAGCAATATCTGCAGCAACAGCAGTATCAGCAGCAGCAAACGCACCCTATGCAGCAGCTGCAGCAGCAACAGCTGCAGCAACAGCAGCAGCTGCAGCAGCAGCAGCTGCAACAGCAGCTGCAGCAGCAGCAGCAACAACTGCAGCAGCAGCCCCCCATAGCAGGTTACCCAGGGGCCCCCCCCCTTGCGAGTTTGCCGTATGCCTATCAGCCCGTAAAGCAGCAGCAGCTACACCTGCAGCAGCAGCAGCTGCAGCAGCAGCTGCAGCAGCAGCAACAGCAGCAGCAGCAACAGCAGCAGCCACAGCAGCAGCAGCAGCAGCAGCTAGGTGGAGTGAAGCAAATGGCGTTTGTGCAGCAAATGCCGAAGGGGACGCCGCAGTTGATGTGTTTTAATGACTACACAAACTAAAATTCAAAACATATTTAAGTGCTGCTTCACCTGCAGCAGCAGCAACAGCAGCAGCAGCAGCAGCCGTAGCAGCAGCAGTAGCAGTAGCAGCAATAGCAGCATTGCTAGCAGCAGCAGAGGGAGCAATAGCAGCCGCATTAGGAGCAGCACTAGCAGCAGCAGCAGCAGCACTAAGTGCAGCAGCAACAGTAGCAGCAATAGCAGGACCAATACGAGCAGCAGTAATTGCAGAACTAGCAGCAATAACAGCAGCAATAGCAGCAGCAACAGCGCAGCAGCATATATATATATATATATATATATATATATATATATGTAGATATACATATAATATATATATATATATAAACATGTATATATATCTCTTCTGTCTTCTTCTGCTGCCGACTATCAAAGAAATTGCAAACCCCTGAAAATATTAAAAAATAAATAAAAAGAAAACACATAGGGGGCAGCAGCAGCCACTGATATATATAATATATAATAATATAATATATATATATATATATATTATATTATAGGTGCATGCATATACATGTATATATATATATATATATATATATATATATATATTTGTATGTCGATGTTTACGAATATCTGCACACATCCGCTGGGGCGGTGTACACACAGCTATTTTAGGGTATTAAATGAGTTTTTAAGAAGAAAATATAAATATAAATTGTTAGGAGATATACAAATTGCATTAAAATGCAAAAGAAGAAATTCTTTTGCTTATTATCAGCTGCGCATACACCTGAATACGTTCGGGAGGCAGCAGTTGGTTTCCATGAAGAAATAATCTCTAATCTTTGAATATTTAATAAAATAATACATTTAAAAAATATATTTAATAAAATTTCAATAAAAAACGCGAAAAAATGCATCTTTTTGCAACATAATCTCGTTGCTGCTGCTGCTGCTGTTCTGCTGCTACTGCTGCTGCTGCTGCTGCTGCTGCTGCTGTCTGTACAGCAAACCGGTGGTTTGTTTGCTGCAGAGGGTGGGAGCTTTGTTTATTTTTGTTATTTTCTTTTCTTTCTATTTTTATTAATTGACGAATACTCTTTATTTATGCTTTCTTAGCTACTGAACTACCTTAGAAATGCCCTACACCCCTACTTTCTGCTGCTTATTAAATATATATATATAAATAAATATCTAACTACTCTATTGCACAATATTTCTTGCTTTTTCTCTCTTTCTTCTCTTCTTCTTTTTATTCTTTTTCTTTACTAAAACTTCTAAAGAAGGCATCTCTCTCTTAATCAGCAGTTATTTTTATATCTTATATATAACAACGCTTACTATAGGAAGCTTCTTGCATATAGACAAATCTTTATCTTTATCTTTATCTTTATTATTATTATTATTGACAGCCTGAACCCTTAGAGGTCCTTTGTACGCTGCTGCTGCAGATACTGCTGCTGCTGCAGATACTGCTGCAGCTGCAGCTGCTGCAGCTGCTGCTGCTGCTGCTGCGTTTTCTTTGCAGCTGCAGCTTTTCCGAATGCTTTAGCTGCAGCAGCCGTAAAATCTGCTGCTGAAGCTCAAGCAACTACTGCAGCAACTGCTGCAGCAGCTGCAGCAGCAGCAGCTGCAGCAGCAGCTGTATAAAGCTGTCTGTACACTGCAGGTTTTGTTTCTTCTTCTGCTTCTTTTAATCATTTCTTCTATCTCTCTCTCTTACTCTGTTATTATCTGTTATATTAATTTGCCCGACTTTATTTTATTTCCTTTCATTTTTTTATTTTTTTATTTTCTCTCCTTCTGAAGCAAACTTCATGCACTTACTGCAGCATTACTTATTTTCAGGTGTACGTACACCCCGACGCAGCAACTTAAACCATAGCTATGACATCTAAGACAGATTTCTCTTTCATAGGGAGGGGCCCTCAGATGAGCGATGATTGCCGACTAACAGCAGTTCAGATGCGGGAGACTTTTAACTACTTGCTGTCCTGCAGCAGCAGCAGCAGCAGCTGCTGCTGCAGCAGCAGCTGCAGCAAAGAGGAACAGCAGCAGAGGTTTGCTGCTCTTTACTCTGGGTCTCACAAGCCTCGCTCGGTTAATAGGAGCTCAGCTGCCCCTTCCACTTCAAATGAAGCAACAGCAACAGCAGCACCAGCAGCAGCAGCAGCAGCAGCAGCAGCAGCAGCAGCAGCGACACGAGCAGAACATTTTTATGCTTTGTATGCGCATGCACTTCGTCTTGCTTCGTTTATTCAAATGCATGAAAAGAGAGAAAGACGAAGAAAAGAAGCAAGGAGGCTGCAAACCCTAAACCCTAAACCCTCACCACACCTCCAAACCCTAATCAGCAAACAAACGCAGGAAACCCTAATCAAGAAAAAAGAGGTGCACTCCCCAGCAGCAGCAGCAGTAGCAGCAGCAGCAGCATCAGCAGATGGAGAGCAGCTGCATTTTATATATACAGGCCCGCCTAACTGCCGCGTACAGGTGAGGGGTGTACAGATAGCAGCAGCAGCAGCAGCAGCAAGAAGCAGCAGAAGTAGCAAGAAGCAGCATTAGCAGCACTAGAAGCAGCAGCATCACTAACAGCAGCATGAACAGCAGCACCATCACCGTGATCAGCAGCAGCAGCAGCAAAAGCAGCATCAGCATTTGCAGCAGCAGCACCATTACCAGGATCAGCAGCAGCAGCAGCAGCAGCAGCAGCAGCAGCAGCAGCAGCAAACTAGAGAGCAGTGCTGTCTTTGTTTTTGTTTAGGTAGCAGGTTCTTTTACTAACCCGCCGTGGAGCCGCCCTCTCGACTTGCATTACAGCGAGAAAAATAAATATTATTTTCTGCATGTCTTCGATCCTCAACTTAAAAATAAAAACAAAGATAATATCTCATTTAAATTTATCGTCGAGGGGCAGTGGGTCTTAGAGCCCTCTTTGCCTGTCTGCCAGGTACCCAGCGAGGGTTTAGGGTTTAGGGTTTACTAGGGTTTACTAGGGTTTACTAGGGTTAATTAGGGTTTATTAGGCTTTACTAGGGTTTATTAGGGTTTATTAGGGTTTATCAAAGTTTATGAGGGTTTATAACAGTTTATCCGGGCTCATTAGGGTTTAGTTCGCTTTGGGGTTTACTAGGGTTTATTAGGGTTTAGGGTTTACTAGGGTTTACTAGGGTTTATTAGGGTTTAGGGTTTAGGGCTAAGGGTTTAGGGTTTATTAGGGGTTAAGGGTTTGGAGTTAAGGGCTTATTACTGTTTAGGGTGTATTAGGGTTTAGGGTTTATTAGGGTTTAGGGTTTTAGGAGATGATGAACAAATACAAAAAAAACAAAGAAGAAGACAGCGACTGTTTCTTTTCTTTAATTTATTTTAAACTTCTTTTTCTTCTCTTTCTGCGACCTTTATTAATTTATGTATTTATATATATTTATATATATATTTATATTTATTTATATTTATTTATTTATTTATATTTATTTATTTATTTGCTTGCAGGGAGAAGATGCAGCAAAGGGTTGCAAACCGCTGCAGCAGCGGTCTCAGTCTGTATTTATATGGGGTATGCCTCTTATATCTTCTTTATCTTTTGCGTCTTTATCTTTTTCACTTCCTTCTCTGTCTCCTTCTGCATGCAAGCGCGACTGGCAGCGATTAAAAGCTCTGTCTCTCTCTGTCTCATCCTTCCCTCCAGCTGTTCTCTCTCTGCTGCATCCACCAGAAGTCTTGCTGCTATTAGGTGCTGCTGCTGCTGCTGCTGCTGCTGCAGCACCACGAACAACAGCAGCAGCAGCAGCAAACCAAAGCCAGATATCTGACGACAAAACTACCACCAGCACCAGCAGCAGCAGCAGCAGCAGCAGCAGCAGCAGCAGCAGGAGAGAAGGTTCAAAGGGTTTATCTCTTCAATGCGGTGTATTTCTGCTGCCTCATCCAGAGAAGCAGCAAACAGGAGGGGCCGACTCGTTTTTTATTGCGACAGAAGGTGCAGGTAAAGGTGTTGCTGTCGGTGTTGCTGACGGAGTAGGAGAGTGGGATGCCTTTGACTTAGACCCCCGTCTCTTTGCTGATGAGCTCATGCGCGGCTGCTGCCAGGCTGCTGCTGCTGCTGCTGCAGATGCTGCTACTGTGCCTCCTGCTGCTCCTGCTGCTCCTGCTGCTGCTCCTGCTGCTAGTGCTGCTAGTGCTGAGAGTGAAGGTGGGGGGGTAGCAGCAGCTGAACAGGCGGTGAGAGATGAGTTGAATTCTTCAGAGAAAGCAACAACAGCAGCAGCAACTACAGTAGCAGCAGAAGAAGCAGCAGAAGAAGCAGCAGCTGCTGCAGTTCCTGCTGGTGTGGCAGGTCCACCCGAAGTGCCTGCTGCAGCAACACTATCCCTAGCAGCAGCAGCACCAGCAGCAGCGGCCCTAGAAGCAACTCCAGCAGCAGCTCCAGCAGCAGCTCCAGCAGCAGCTCTAGCAGCATCCCCAGCAGCAGCTCTAGCAGCATCTCCAGCAGCAGAAGAAGCAACAGAAGCAGCAGAAGCAGCAGAAGCACCAACAGGAAGAGAAGCAACAGAAGCAGCAGAAGCAGCAGAAGCAGCAGAAGCAACAACAGGAAGAGAAGCAGCAGCATCCCCAGCAGCGGGAGAAGCAGGCGAAGCAACAACAACAACAACAACAACAGCAGCAGCAGCAGCAGCAGCAGAAGCAGCAGAAGCAGCAGGAGAAGCAGCAGGAGAGAAAGATGAGGGTGAAATGCTTGCAGCAAAAGCATTAAATATATTACGTGTGGGGTATAACAGCACTCGCAGCTTTGGTAGTTCAACTGCTTTAGTGCTGCTGCATCGAGGAGGTGCAGCAATAGGCGTTGTTAACCTCGGAGACAGCGGCTTAATTGTTTTAAGGAGACAGTTAGTTTATCAGATGACGTGTGTCTTCCGCTCAGTAGAGCAGCAGCACCAATTCAACTGCCCCTTTCAGCTAAGCCGCTTGCCTCAGCCTGAAGACTTTGAATTGCTGCGCTGCAGCGGCAAGAAGGCGTTGCTGCGGCTGCTGCAGAGCGCTCCAGCTGTACCTCAAGATACACCTGAATCTGCTGCTGCATGCACTGTTGCTGTTGCTGAAGGTGATTTACTCCTCCTAGGGACTGACGGAGTGTATGATAATCTCTTCGATAGCGAGATATGCAGCATAGCAAGTCTGTTCATAAGCCCTAAAGAAGCAAAAGCTATTGGAGACCCTTCACTTGCAACAGCAGCAACAGATGCTGCTGCTGCTATCGGGGAAGCAGCAGCATACAAAAGGTATCCTGCTGCTGCTGCTGTTGCTGGGGCTGCTGCTGTTCTTGCTCCCACTATATGTGCTGCTGCTGCTGCACCTGCTGCGGTTGCTGCCAATGCATATGCTGCTGTTGTTGCTGTCTTTGCTGTTGTAATTACTGAGACTGCATCTGCTGCTCCTGCTGCTACTGCTGATGCTATTGCTGTAACTGCATATGCCGCTGCTTCTGCTGTTGCTGCTGCGACTACATCTGCTGCTGCTGCTGCTTGTTGTGCATTCGTATTACTTAAATTTGTTTTGTCTCTTTTTCTACAGTCGTTCTTCTAAGGAGAGAACACCCTTCATGAAGCATGCACGACAACAGGGGGCCTTTCATACAGGAGGGAAGATGGATGATATAACGGTTGTAGCTTGCTGGGTTACGTCAGACGGTTTGCTGCAGCCTGGAAGCAAAGATATATCAGGATTTCATAGTGCTGCATGCATTGTTAGAGAGTGCTGATGATGATCAAGACCTACACTTAATGCAGCAGAAACAACAACCCACTGCAGCAGCTATTCTTATAATCCTACGTTTCCTTGTGCGTGGCTAGTTGCATCGAATAACAATATAATAGTAATAATAAATCATAATCTTAAACAGATAGGCATGATGCTTTCCCTGCTCTAGGACAGCATCATCCATGTATGCGTAGTTGTGTGTGCACATAAAACTGTGCGTGGGAAGCTGATAATAATATTCTTGTGCATATTTGCAAAAAGCTGGAGGAGGTGAGAGGAGGTAAACGAAAGACAGAGGGAGAGAATTAAGTACATTGAAATCTAAATGAAGTCCAAGAAGATTAATGTAAAGTCTTTTGCTCCGTGAAGTATATTACTTCTGAAGAATTAAATGCAGAAGTCCGTCGCTCGTTGTTAAAATGCAACGAAGTTGTCGGCTTTAGTGATCGCAGGCGTAATGAAGTATTCCGCTGATGGTTTCCTTCTTCGGGTGTATCTGCATGTTGTTTCTTATTTCTTTGTTGCACTTTAGCATCAAAAAGGTATTTTGAAGATACAAAACACAAAAAATGCTGTTGAGTGATCTCGTTCCCATGAGATCGCACAAAAAAGGTTCTGCTTTCCATCAATACTTAGCAGGTGAAAAGGAAAGCAAATTTGAGGTGTATGTGCACCTCAGCAACACTTGCAGGAAACATTTTGTTCGAAATAATGTGAATATATACATGTCGATATGCCCTTTTTGAACGATGCAAATTAATATATGAATAAGTATATGTATAAAAATAAGAAACATGAGGTATTTCTCCTTTTTTCTCTTTTTTTCTCTATTTTTCCTTGCCAACCGTGCAAGAGGCATGGGGGATGAAGAAGATGACGACGCTGGCATTTCAACGCCCGTTTCTTTCATTCTCCCCGCAACGGCCGCTGCAAGTGACTTAATTCAAGATGCTATTGATGAATACGACGCTAAACTGATCCGGTTTACTCATTTCTTCGGTAAAATGCAGCTTGCTTGAGCCGTGAAAAGGAAAGAAGGAACAAATGATTAACTCCTTTTCAGAACAGTCGCATGCAGGGCGCTTGCTTGCAGATGTCGTGTACGATTTGTCTGTATATCCCTCAGCAAACGCAATTCCCGGCACAAGTGCTACAACAGGAGTAATTACTAGCCAGCTCCACTCCGGTATACAGATACATTTATTGTTCTTTTTCATAGATAGTAGCAAAATAATATCTCTTTTCTGCTCAGTGGTCGTTCCTCTAGAAGGATTTCCTACAGCCTCCCCTCAAGTGCGATGAACAGAAATAAGAAATAGAAACAACAAACACCAAGCATTCACATGCAAAGAAAACAACACAAGGGTTTAATATCATACAAACGTGCAGCAAGGCTCGGCCGTCTTGACGGCCTTTATTTCTCTGCTTTGTTTCTCGGCTGCCATTCCTTTTACCTACTTTGGGGCCTACGGTTAGTTCGTCTGTTTATTAAAACAATTACAAAAATCTCTTCTTTAAAGAAGAGATTATTTGAATTGTAATATTAAATAAAACAGAGATAAAATGCAAAATGATGCTTATCAGGGAACTTGCGGGAGTATTCGGTTTATTCGTTGGCTTCTTTCAGCGGTAAAAAGACAGAAAAAGCAAAACAATAAAAGACAGCAGAGAGCATCAATAGAATATGTTTATCTTTTGAATGTCCCTTAGCATTCGCCCATTAAAGACAGAGAAAAACATTCTTCTGTCTCTTCTTTCTCTTTCTTCTTAATTAAATTTGTCTTCAGGCTACTTTGCTATTTCGTTGTCTCTTTCTGTACTCCAAGGCCTGGTGCCTGAGTTGCTGCAGTGTCTTCTTTGTCTACTTATAGGAGGCAAGTTAATAAGAGATATAATTTATTCTATTTAAAGAATAACTTCAAGGTTTTTCTGTCTTTTTCTCTATATACACCACAGGAGGTGTCGGCTATTGGGCCCTCTCGGCGTCTTCTAAACAACTCTCCTTTGTTGCAACTTTTGCTGCCTGTCTGGTCAGTCCCCCTAAACCCTAAACCCTAAACCATTAAACCTAAACCCTAGAATATAAACTGTAAACCCTAACGAGTAAGAAGAATGCAAACGCATCTTTTTTATCTTTCTCCTCAGCTGGCCAGTCATTTGATATACAGCCTTTGGGGAGGAATACCCGTTGCAGATATCAGCCCCGCGTTTAGCGGTAAGCTTGTTTTTTTGATGTTTTGTTTGTTTGTTTAAATTTAGAATGCATGCAATCTACATTGAAATACCCATATAAATGTGTTGTTCACTACAAAACTAATTTCTATTTGTCTTTTAAAATTATGTGAATATATATATATGTATATATTTATTTATTTATTTAAATGCAATTAGTTTTGTTATTGGCTAATATGTTAATATATATATATATATATTTATTTATTTATGTAAATGCAATTACTTTTGTTATTGGCTTCATCTTCTCGTTCTCTTGCAGGTCCTGCAGGCTTGATCTTCAACACGGGTGAATTGTAAAGGAGTAGAAATATAGAATTCTGTTTTTTTATTTATATTGTTTCAAAGGTTTTGTTGGAGACGCATTTTACTTTCTTCGTGTTTTATACTATTTGTTTCTGCTCGCCATTGGGGGCCTCCTTTACTTCTCTCTCCCTCCATACATAAAAGGCAAGGAACCCACCACCACAGAAGAAAGGGATAGAGCCAGGTAGGTATGTTGTAGCTAGGGTTTAGGGTTTAGGGTTTAGGGTTTTGACTCGTTTGCTGTTTTAGGAATTGGGAGCATCGGCTGATGGGGTTTATCTTTGGGTGGATCGTCGCTGGCGTAGCCTCGCAGGTGTTAATTTGTGTTGAATGCAGAGCTTGAAGTGAAATAAGCAAATAGATGCTTTTTTCTAAATTGTTTATCTGCATAGATATTTAACATAAAAATAAATAAAATAAAAAATTCATATTCTTTTTCATTGATGCCTCTTCTTTCAGATGATCTTCCTCTTTGGAGCGGCATCCAGCCCTCTAGGTACGACGACGAATTGGACAAATGAAATTTCGGCAGAAAACGCGCTATATTTCGATGCCTTCTGTTTAAAATTAAATTATTGTTTATTCAATTAATTGAATTATTTGTTTATTTCATTAAAATAAAACCAGGAGATGAATTTTCTTTGCTGCAGACCCCCTTTCTTCCTTCTTCATTCCATGCCAGCTGCAGTGGAACCGGTGGGAAACTTTCGTTTCACTGGGTGGTGAGTATTATTCTTCTGCGTTGATTGATTTGTTTCAATAAGTAAATCGAATTAATTGTTATTTTAAACAATATTTATCTCAGTTTGGGCGCTATTAGCCTTCACTTTCGCTCGAATACGCACACAAAATGAAACCGGTGAGCCGAACAACGGGGTGTATGAGCAGATGAGCACGGCTCTCGGACGTTTGTTTCCAATTCAACTTTTTTCGTTTTGTTTAACTTTTCCTGCTGCTAAAAATACACTTTCGTTGATTATTATATTATATTTAACTTTGTTTCAATGCAATTTCCCCGCTTTAATGACATATTTCAGATATAAGACTAGAAAGCCACATGCTGCCGGCGGCGGTTGTGGAGCAGTGGAAGCTAATGGGCTCGGAGTGATGAAGGTTGGTTTCTTTCTCGGTTTGTTCTTGCAAATTCAATTTAATAAAACAACACAGAGGCGCAAAAGCGTCAAAAAAATCAGATTTCATACAAAGGTGACGCAACTACCAGAGGGAGAAGCTCCATCAACATGAAGAAAACAATACGAGCAGAAGACATGAGACAGAAAATTAGAGAGGGGAAACAGACGCATGCAGCACCCCAGCCAGACCGATTTAATTCCACTGTAAATAAAAACTAACACAAAAAGCAAGAAATAGAGGAAGGTTTTTGTCCGAACAATGAGTCAACAAAAACACTGCAAGACGAGCAGCAAGAGCAGCAGCAGCAGCAGCTGCTGCTGCTGCTGCAGCTGCCGCTGCCGCAGAGAATACAGGCGGGCCCGCGGG